GAAGAGAGGATCACAGTTTCTCCTGGCAGCAAGTAATCTCTTTAAGGTAGTTATGTCAGTATTCATTGAGAAATGTGGGAATGTGCTATCTTCTTGGCAGGTCCAGGAAAAATTTGGTGGCAGTAAGTTTAGATCAAAAATTTTATTATTACAGTGGAACCCAGATAAATAAACTATTAAAAACAGCAACAAAAATAAAGCATATGAATTGGGTTTTAGTTTAATATTTCTGATGTAGTTTTAGAATTGACAAAAAAGCATTATGATACAGTAATTATTTAATTAAAATACCCTTACCCTCCATTTGCAAGGGCATTACATAGATGATGCTCTTTTGTACAATTATATTTTTATGTCACTATACAACGACAAGGAGGGGACCTGAATAAGTGGACAGATTTGATATGTTTTCATAGCAGCTAATAATGTCTTCATGTAGGCATTTATGCTGCTCAGAAAGCCAGAGTTCAAAAGTGCTTAAGCCCAATTATAGGGTGTATCATAAGCCTCAAGCAGAATTATGGTTATGAATTTCACTGCATGGTTTACATTCAAAGGGCTGGGCTGAGCAATAATCAGAAATACTCTTAGAGGATGATGAGCAAAGTCAAAGGCTAGTCCAGACCCAATAGTTATAAAATACACCGACTGTGATGTATTGAGTTTCAGCTGAAGAGCACCTAGGGGTATAGCTATAACATTGTCTCTGAGAAGCTGATGAGAGTCTTTAGAGAAGGTAATGATACAAAGACAATAAGGCTAAGAGAAGAAAACTTTGAAGTAATGTAAAATGAGTTTTTTCTTAAAAGTGGCAGTGGTTCAGCAATACATGGGATATCTACAGCAGTAAACTGGAAAGTATTTTAGATATAGTGGGGAGCTTACAGTCACATTAATTCTAAATGAAAGGGGAGCTCCATTGTTAGGTAAAAGCAGGGGAAAAGGTCATTCTAAGCATGAAACATTTAAAAAAAGAAATACTGGGGAAGGGGATGACTGCATATAAAAAGAATGACTGTATTAAATTATAACATCTAAATAAAAGAAAGGTGACGGGAAAACAGCATACTGGGTAAAGTAGCCCTTGATAGTATGCATTTCTTACAGTATATTTGACAGGATATTTCTTAAGGTAGCTGCACATTTGTATTATAATGCAACCCAATTTAATTCAATGCAATTTATCACAGGCATTCTACTAGAGTAATTCAGTTCAGTTCATGGTCAGGGCGGACAGCTTTCTAACTAAATAGAATTGCTTCATCTTAATGCTGAATGGCAGGCCAAGCAAGAAGAGACATCCAGAGGAGTATCTTGAGAACATGGAGGCCTCTTATTTCACACGAAACTTTCAAATGAGCTCATATTCTCACTGTTTCTTTTCCTGATTTTTCAAAACAAGTTTCTTCATTCATAGCTATAAATTGTAACCATACATTGTACTCCTTTGGTGCCAAAAAGCAAATCATTATTTAAAGGGCATGTGGGCAGTTTTTTGGGCCATCACCAATAGTTCTAACATGGTTTGACTATAGCCATGGAAGTTTGCAATTGGATGGTATTGTTGTCAGCAGTGTCTGATAAATATCTAAGATCCTGAACTGCCCAACTGCTAAAATGTATCGACAATAATGTTTAGCACTTATAGACATTTTTGAATCTGTACCTTCAGGAATTGCTGCCTTGTCATGGCGAAGGGGCTTGAATAATTCAGAGGAGCTATGGGCTATTCTGTGCAGGGACACCCAAGACAGACAGGTCATAGTGGAATGTTCTGACTAACCACTCTGATGGCAGAAAGTGAGGAGGAATTAAAGGTCCTCTTAATGAGGGTGAAAGCGACAACAAAAATGGTCTGAAGCTCAACATCAAAAAACTATGATCATGGCCTCTGGTCCCATCACCTCCTGGTAAATAGAAGGGAAAGATATGGAGGCAGTGATAGGTTTTACTTTCTTGGGCTCCATGATCACTGCAGATAGCGACAGCCGCCACGAAATTAAAAGACACCTGCTTCTTGGTAGGAAAGCGATGCCAAACCTAGACAGCATCCTAAAAAGCAGAGACATCACCTTGCCAACAAATGTCTGCATAGTCAAAGCTGTGGTTTTTCCAGTAGTGATGTATGGAAGTGAGAGCTGGACCACAAAGAAGGCTGATCGCTGAAGAATTGATGCTTTTGAATTGTGGTGCTGGAGGAGACTCTTGAGAGTCCCCTGGACTGCAAAGAGAACAAACCTATCTGTTTTGAAGGAAATCAACCCTGAATGCTGACTGGAAGGACAGATCCTGAAGCTGAGGCTCCAATACTTTGGCCATCTCATGAGAAGAGAAGACTCCCTGGAAAAGATCCTGATGTTGGGAAAGTATGAAGGCAAGAGGAGAAGGGGACGACAGAGGACGAGACGGTTGGACAATGTCATTGAAGTTACCAACATGAATTTGACCCAACTCTGGGAGGCAATGGAAGACAGGAGGGCCTGGCGTGCTCTGGTCCATGGGGTCATGAAGAGTCAGACACAACTTAACAACTAAACAACAACAACCATGAATATTTTATTAAAGCTGGAATTCATCCCTTCTGAACCCTGGTATTCTGATGATTCAACTGTGGGAGATCCAAAATAAGTACAGTGGTGCTTCACTTAGTGATGTTAATCCATGCAGAAAAAATCACTGCTAAGCGATAACATCGCTAAGCAAAAATAAAAAGCCCATAGAAACACATTAAAACGAGATTAATGCGTTCCTATGGGCTAAAAACTCACCTTTAAGCAAAGATCCTCCATAGGGGCGGCCATTTTCGGTGCCTCTTAAGCAAGGAAACAGAGCGGGCAGCCATTTTGTTTACCCGGCGGCCATTTGGAAACCGCCGATCAGCTGGCCGAAAATGAAGACTTTGCGATGATCGCTTCCCTGCGATCATCGCAAAGTAAAATTTCCCCATAGGGACCATCACAAAGCAATCGCTTTTGCGATGGCAAAAAGTCCATCGCAAAATGATTTCATCGCTATACGGAGTGATCGCTATGCGAGAAACCACTGTATATAGGATCTTTACTGGTGTATCTAGAATTGTACTACGTTTTGCAAGTCTTGTGTATTTGTGAGATTTTAAGTTGGTGCTACCAGTTAAGATAGCATAAATTTGTTTTGATGTTTGCACCTCTCACTTTTGTAAAAAATTAGAAAGCACTGAAAAAGATCAGTTTTATCTTTCCTTTTTTCTTGTTCTTCTAGCTCTTACAAGTTGTTCTAATTAATCTAATCTTAATTCAGTTACTATAAGGCATGAAAATCAGAATCTGGATGGTTCCATAAGTGACTGGAGGTACTAACATAGCAGCCTTGGGGGGGGGGGGGCAAAACAACAGAAATCAAGGCCTCAGTATTGATTTTACATTTCAGCACCTCTCATGTCCTGTTTGTATGGTGGTTCTAGCTGGTGTATAGCTATAGTTGATTAGAGGTTGCCACATTCTCTCTCACATAGACTAGGGGCTTGATCAAATGGGTATTTTTCCCATTGTTCGATCAGCTGCAGGTAGGGTTTGGCTTGCTCTTTTTTGGGATAATCACACAATATAATCACTGGGATGAACCAAACCATCCATGTAGTAGTACAAACAGTTTTTCTCAATTAAGATAAAAAGGACTGTGAGATTTCCAAAGCAGTAAGAACCAAGGGATTTCCAAAATAGTACTGTTTAGATGTATTATCTTTTCAATTCGAATTGTTTTATTCCAACATACAGTTCTTGAGAAGCTCTTGGTTCCTCTTGATATGATGATCACTAACCATCTCATAAAATTATCTACTGATTTAAGTTGGAAAATATAGTAGTGCTTTATCACTCATTTTTTAAATCACCAGAATAGACAACATGTAGCCCACCAGTTGTTGCAATGCAAATTCCATCATCAGTGAATTCTTGAAAAAATGTGGGTCTTAATTTTCTACATAACGACTAAGTTTTATTTTGCTATTGAGATCTGTGATGGACAGCCATAATTTCAAGAGAAACCAAGAGAAAACTGAATGTGTTGGGATAAAACAATTAGAATTTAAACTAATTTTTTTAAAAGGAAGTTAACAAATCCAGGCATTAACTTCTCGCTGGTGAGACCCTCATGTTTGCCTGTGAGCCTGCTTCAAACGAAGAAAAAGAGGTAGATAATAAGTATCTTTATTTAATCGCTAAAATACCCAAGGTGAACTTCTGAGTCCTGAAGGGAGTCTTCTTTCAGACTGTAGTTGTAGAAAGAGCAGCCATGCTAGTCTGTGCAAGGTAAGTAAAAGAAAAAAAAGAGCGGGAGACAAAAACGTGGTGTCACCTAAAGACTAAGTTACTTTTTTTAATGTGCGCTTTCCAGGACAAGTCCACTTCATCAGACAATATCATGTTTCAGGTTGAGCACTGCAGAATTTACTCAGCGGGAAGAAACAAAAAAAAGTCAAAAAGCTTCAGTGCCCTGATGCTGCAGCTTCAGGACCCACGCAGGATACAGTATATATATTTTTTCCAACCATGATTTTAGGACTTTTCTGTCCCCCGCCCCCTTCGCGTAAACTCTGCAACAGCTAGCCTGAAGAAGAGTCCTGCAGGATTCGGAAAGCTTGCCAGTTTTTAACGCTTTCGTGGCCTAACGAAGGCACCAGCTGCACTTTTTCATTTCGTCCAAGGGGCCTCCTACGCGGCGCTCTCCCCCTTTGGGACTTTTTCCTCCTCTCGACTCCCCAAGGACTCCCCGCCCCACCTCAAACCCCTCTCCCCCCAGGCTCGCCACCCTCAGCCGGCCGAAGGCGATCCGGGGACTCAACCGCTCCCTTGCCCTCCGGGGGAAACTATTTCCCGCTCGCGAGGCGAGCCCTGACGACGCGGGCCCCGCCCACTAGCCAGCTCGCCAGCCAGCGTCTGCCCCCGGGAGCCGTCACGTGTGCGCGGGGGCTCCCCCTCCGCTCGGCGAACCCGCATTGGCTCGTCCCGCCTGCCTCCACGCGGGCCGCCCCCTTCCTTCGGCCACGCTTTGCCGCCCAGCAGCGGGCTTTCTTCGGCGGTAAGTAGAAACGGGTTTGAATTCCGTGTGCAGGGCTGGGGCGGGAGGCGGCCGGCGTTGGCCTTCGCACGCTCTCCCGGCGGGACGCGGCGGGTGTTCCTTTTTAAAAAACCCG